TTCTAAAAAATAGAGACTTCTCATAAAATATAACGCCGTTACGTTATTCTATTTTCTGTAAACTTATATAATTAAATTAATCGTCCGATTAATCGAATTTTCTATCTTCTTCTTCTTCTTCTTCTTCATCTTCTTCTTCTTCTTCTTCTTCTTATTATTATTATTATTATTATTATTATTATTATTATTATATGAGTTTATACAATAAATTTAAGGTGATTTAAAAGAAATAATTTAATGCTATGGATTATTTATATTTGCTACGTCGATATGATAATCATTCAATAAATAATATGCATTTACCTCTGTTGGATCATTCATGCTGTGTACTTATTTTACTTTTTAAAACATAAATTAACTTTTAATCATAGAAGCGATGGCAGGATATAAAAGGATAAATATTATTATGATTTAGTTAAATAATTTAATATAATAGTTTAATAATTAACCTCTCTTATTATTGTTCCTCTTACAACATAACGCATCAATTGTCAACATGTCCTTCCGTAATCCTACTTGTGACCAGCACAACACGGTTATTAATATTAGGATATCATTCCTTGGGAGTGGTCGTTCGCAGGATACAATGAATAACATTTCTTGTGGAAATCGAGCGCAAAAATACATTTCTATATCCACGTCCGACCAAATACATTTATATGTAAATGTGTACTACCATATCCGTTTATGCTTTGCTGATCCTAGTGAACACTTCAATCCGTGATGACTCTTTATCGGCAATGCATATCGCAACAATAAATCGTTCCGATCCGTAATCGATAAACATTTAATTGTAGAATATAATATTGAATACGATGCAAATACAATGCAAATACAATGCAAATACAATGCAAATACAATGCAATACAACACACGATACTGTAATTTTTGTTTTTTTTTTCTTCATTTTGCAATTCAATGTGTCATTAAATTGAGGCTGGGATAATCGAGGAAAAATCTTTACGACATTTTATCTATGCACACTCGTTATATTCCAAAAGATTCTCTCTCTCTCTCTCTCTCTCTCTCTCTCTTTGCTTTTAATATATCCGTGTTAGAAAAATATTATCAGAAAATTAAGAAACAAGCTTTGATATATCAATTGAAGGTATAAGGCTCGTAATAATTTCTTATCCTCCTGATAAATAATTTTCATTCTAAAATAATCAAACACTATTCTTCATTATTATTATAACGACTAACAATTCAAAACAAAAACAAAAACAAAAAAAAAAACAATAAAATTATTAATGATATAATATCAATATTTCTGCATTCCAGGATAGTTTGGAATACAGTCAAATGACGAAGGGGTTGTAATTGTTACAATTTTTCATTTCGGTATTGGCCTTTTTCATATTATACTCATATTTAATAAGAGCAACAATTTTCATCACAGACACGTCTCGTTGTATACGCCAAACATAAAATGTAAGAATGGATTTGGAAATTTCCAACACTAAGACGCAATGACTCATCTACGCTATTGAAAGTGTTGGTTTAGCGTGCGATTTCTTTTGTTTCAGCATACCAAATATTACTATAGCAATTACTATATTTCCCTATGCCGATGTAAGCATTAATTCAATTACTTTTGTAATTTTTGTAATGCTTGTACTCGCACATAACTCGACGTGCAAGTAACATTATTTTTCTCTATTTTTACTATGGAATGTTATAACTTTATATTTGTTTAATTAAAAGGGAACGTGTTATTATTTACCGATTAGTTTTATACGCCTATTCATTTAATAATTTATTTATAGAGTTTGTTGCAAAAATTTATATATATTTCAAAATATCAAGGACTATGCATTTTTCTATATCATTTAGACATTGACGCTATATATATATATATATATATATGTGTGTGTGTGTGTGCTATTTCAGACGCATTTATATTTCCTTTTTTTTTTTAAATTAATTTTCATGAAAAATAAAAACTGTTTTCCCCTTTAATACTCAACCTCGTAATATATAATCTTGATAACTCACATCTCTGATAAAATTTGATAATTATACTTCGAGCCTTTACTTGTATTAAAGCAAGGAATAGCGAGATACAATTACTTGCCGTAACATTTTCTTACAGAGTTATATATGTAATACATTTATATAAGTGCAAGGTCATTTGTAATATTAATCAATTACCTTTGAATCTTGGTTTTTCTTTTATTTATAATTATTTCAGAGCTATAATCCATATCATAAACATTACTATAACATTAATTTCAAAACTATATTTCTTATTGTATAAAAGATCACAAAGGTCAATTTCAAAACTATATTTTTTAAACGATATTTTGAATTTATTGTATATATAAAACAAGTAATTATTCACAGTCTAATCGTCTTACAATGTAATAAGTATATCGATCTACATTTGTCGCATATATATACATACATACATACATACATACATACATACATACATACATACATACATACATATATATATATATACTTATTAGAAAAAATAATTAATATACTATTAAAAATATACATGGCACTTTAGAATTTTAATTTTTCTCAATGTAATAAAATCGTAATTAAAAAAGCAAAAGATTTTTAAAAATTGTGAGAAATATTTTGCCCTTCAAAAGTATATTGAAATTGCAGGAAATAAAACATAATATATATATTTATTTATTTAAATATATTTACTTTAAATGAAATTTAATTTTTATATTATGTGAATTATAAAAATAAGATTAAAATGTATATTTTAATTATTTGTAAGACTAGTTTTGTCTTTAATTTCAACTAGAAACGTTCATTTGTGAAATATTTATCCGTTAAAAATTATTCATACCAAGTATTGTTATAAATAATTGTATCGAAATATAAGATATTGAATTGAAAAAAAAAAAAATTCACCACAAATTTTCTCAAGATTATCTACAATTGAATATTCTTGAAAAATTTTTTATTACAAGAATGTAAAATATTGATTTTCTTAATTTTTTGAATACTAAATTATAAAATACTAATGTATTATTCAACATACCGATGATCTATGTAATTAAATAAAATTTGTATTTTTATAATTAATCTCTACTATTATGTATACACATATTATTTAATAATTATGTATAAAGTATGGATTAAAAATATTCAATGCTCATAGACTTTACTTTCTTTGAATAGAATGTAACAAATGATATTTTCAACCAATTTTATAGATAAAAAAATTAAGAGAAACTTTTCTTTTTAATATACAATTATTAAACGATCGTATCATAATTATTAATATCTCTTATTTTTTCACCATGTGATATGAAATTATTCTTATATTTTTAAAAAATACATTGAACTGTATAAATTATAGCTTATTTAATTCATTAGGGCAATAATTTATCAATAGTATCGTATTAACAAAAATACATTAGCTGTAGTGATAAGAATTTTTTAAAGGAAATGACGTGAAAATCTTATACGTACATTTTTTTATATTCATTTATATATATATTATAAATAAGTATTATTAAAACCATATATTCGTATATTATAACAATATAGGTGACAATAACGAATAAAAATGCTTAGCTGCTACGTTAAATCTTCGCGGGGATAACGATTTCAATATTTTCCACCAGGCATTTCCTTTATAAAAACAACGAATCTACAAAATTGCTCTTTAAACGCTAATTTCACTTTCAAATAAACATAATACTGGCCAATTTTGTCGATGAAATGTTAATGCGCATTCCCCTGCGTTGAAGTATGGGTAAACGAGGCACTCTTTCGATAATATCTGCATGTGGTCGGTCTAAATTACGGAAATACATAGATTGTTGCTTTGAAATATACATTGTTTGTCTTCATTACTCTACATATTCGTGATAATTTGTCATATTAAAAGGTTATTCGAAAAGTGAAATTTTCAATTTGCATGTTCTAGTTGGGCTGCTGCAAGAATAATCGTTTCTCGGAGTCGAGTAAATATCATTGATCTTTGATATATTTGCTTTTTATAATTGTATATGGAGAAATTTGTAGCATTTTTATCGTAGAAGAAGAAATAAAAGATGCAATTTATATTGGAATATCGGGTAAAATGATTGAAAGGAACGTCATGGCGCAATATGTTATAGAATAAGTGAATAGTGGTGGTCTTAAAGTGGCTGTTTTAAACATTAATATAAAATAATAAAATTCTATTATTTATTTATTTTATAATGTATTTTTTTAAGTACAATTAGTACTTTAATATTGTTAAAAAAAAAAAGAAAGAAATGATTGATCTTCGCGTGTGTAATACTGTGAAGAGTTAAATTGATATCATTTATACTCATAATTTGTTGTAGTAATATAATTATGCATAATTTACAAATATATATATATATATATATATATATATATATATATATATTTATAAATTATTTTCTTTCTTTCATTTTTTTTAAATGAAGTATTCTATGCTAGTATTGAAAAAAAAAAAAAAAAAATTCGATATTAAAATAGATTGTAAGAATTTTGTAAGAATGTTGGGAAACTTTATTTCGTGTATCTTGTTATTAAGCGCCAGGATATATAAACCTCGGATTTAAAATTCATAATATCGTCTGAGAAGAGGAAACAAGATTGACAGATAAATCGAAAAAAATATATATATATAAATATATATATATTGTGTGCGTGCGCGCGCGCGCGCGCGTGTGTGTGTGTGTAGTTTGCTTATTAGAGTTATGTTTCAAGTTATGTAAAAGAAAAATAAATAAAGAAGATCGTGTTGGTTGCTCGATCGAGCGTTAAATAAACAATGAGACAGTGAGGCCGAGCCTGAGAGCAGATAGTTGTTGTCGTCGTCGTCGTCGTCGTCGTCGTCATCGTCGCCGTCGTCGTTGTTGTTATTGAGTAATTCGTCGCTTAGCAGCACGCGCAAAAGCCACTCTACTTGAAGATCAATGAACCTAAATAAGTAGAGATAAAGTGATCTCTTTTGGGGAATGGAGCAAGATTATGGGAGTTGGGTCGGAATTGCGATCGCAGCCGCGATCGGCTAAGTAGCTGCGTAGAAAATATGTACTTTACGTACAATAGATATGTGATAATCCTGAAGTGACTGCGTCGCGCTAGGGAGCCCGGCCTGGTATCCCCGGGTCCCTCTACTCGTAGTTCTCCGACTCCTGCTGCACGAGCTTAAAGCGTCGCGGACTCTTGACGCACATCGAGCCATGACTATCGGTTGTGCGTAGGCGTCCTTTGCGCTGCAAATAGCGCTTTATGTAGCGCGAGACGAGCTCTTGGGGCCTCATCTGCCACTCGTTCAGCACCTCCTTCGGGGCGCAGACCTGTGCCGAGAAAACGGAAGGGAGAGGGCGGATGTCACACCAAAACGTATAACCAGAGTCCAAAGAGGCCCGCGACTCTTCAATCGAGTCGTCGTACTTTCACTCACCGGCCCCCTTGCCAACTCCCGTTCAATTTCGCAAACTTTGAGTTAGCGTAGCTGTCAGTGGGACGAGTGAAATATCCTCGTCTTTTTGTTCGAATTTCGCGATTTATCGATGCCGCTAGGCCAATGGCGGCAGATCGAGCTGTCGGAAATGCCGAAATTTGTTGCCGATAGTCTTTTTAACTTCGTTCGAGTCTTAAAATTTATAGGCGAAAGCTTTTGTATATGAGGGAGGAGTTGGCAAACGCGGCATGAAATGGTGAAAGTCTCGAGTTTGGAATGGAAAGATGTAGGAAGCCTGACCTGATCGCCCTTGAAGCGGTCGAGGAGCGCGACGCAGACGACGCCCGCCTTTATGCCGGCGTGATGGGTCAGTGCCGCGAAGGCTGTGCACTCCATCTCAATGTTGACGACCCCGGCCTCTTGGAGCTTCGCCAGGTACTCGTTCTTCTCCGCCTCGCTGAACTCGCAGAAGGCGCCGTCGAGCCGACCCTGACCCTCGTAAAAGTCCGAGGTGCACATCGTCTTCCCTAATATTGTATCGTAAGGGTCGTCCGAGTAGACGAGGGCCTTCAGCTCGCGCACCAGCTGCCGATCCAGGGTCGTCGGTCGATGAACCTTCTGGCCCAGGACGTGCTGAGGACATCGAGATTTAGACTTACTTTTTCGACTCGAATTGTTCTCGAAGATTGATGGATCGTTAGCATTTAGGTACTGATAAAGGTCCTTTCGTTTGATAAATTGACAGAGCAGCGCATGGAGGAGCAGCCGCGTGTGCTTTTCAATTTGCTAGTTAGTTGAATAATTGGCCAAGCGTTTTGAATGTTTTTGTCTAGGCCATATTTTTTCGTTTTCTGACTCGAAAGCTCTCGTTGTGCGGATGAACGGGGAGGGGACAGGGACGAGATAGAAGGGATGCACATAAACAGACACTAGGAGCAAATTATCTACAATTGTAAATGCTTGCGATTAATAAAGTTTGATTAGTTGACAGCTAAGGACACGAAAAATATTTCTCCAGATAATTTACATGTAAAATAATTATGTTGCGGTAAGTTAATCTGCGTTTCTCCATGATGTTCAACGAATTGTATTAAACGGATGAATTAATTGGGAGGGTTTTAGAGAGATTTACCGTTATTAAATAATTTATTATTTTCTTTAGCATCTAAATGCCATCCTTTTTCTCATAAAGCTTAAATAATAAAATTTCCTTTTCATTCTTTATTTACGAGATAGCTATTATATATTTGACTATTATTTTATTATGACTGTAGTACATTTATTGAATTTACATTGGAAAAAAAAAGTAGAAAAAAAAAGATGAGAAATAAGTATAATACAAGAAGTTTTGTAGGTACAATAAACATGACATTTTACACGCAATAAATTTACAGAATAAATCCACAAAATGGATCAAAATATAATTTACAATGCTTTTTAATGATTATTTTTTACGCTGCAACGAATATTCAAAACGTCTTGTTGATCTTTCTAACAATGCGATATACATAATACGAGAAGGGATAATTATTTTGATGGAATAAAAATTAAAAAAAAATTTCTCTCCCATATATTCACGTTTACGACATTTTTCTAGAAGCTCGAATCGGTTGCAAAATGTGCATTCAACAAAATTATACTGCATTTCAAATATTTTATTGGCATAAATCAAAAGAATCTTTTTACAGGTTATTTCAATTTCAAACAAGTCACTGGAAAGCTGCCTAGTTTATTATTTTCGAGGCTCTTTCATATTTCAGTTGAGCTTTAATTGTAAAGTCGATATTAATAAAAAAAAAAAAATGTTCCAAAAGTAAGGCTTACTTCATTTCAAATATAAAAAAACTAAAGTACTTTGTAAGTAAATTATCGAATGAACAAATGAACGATCATACATAAATTACGTATTTATTCATCTATAATGTGACTTTAAACCGATATAACATGGCTTAAAAAAAAAAAACATATTTCCCTTATTCGTTGTGATCGCGATCGGTCAACTTACCTGCTCATAATAAGGATTAAGCATATCGTCGACCGCTTCTTCGGTAATGACAACAGTACCACCTTCCACACCAATTCCACCGCAGGTTCCAATCCTGAAGAATACCGGATCCTTTACTTTGGCATGGTACATCAATTTTATGATTTCGTGTAGAAGAATTCCCACCGATGGTATTCCCATGCCATGCTACATTAAAAAAAAAAAAAAATGAAAGAAAAAATGTTTCCATTATTCTTGGTGTGTCATTATAACTGTCAACCTATCGTCAATTTGTCTGTCAATAAAATGATAGGCGTGGCCTATTGTAAGAATAACGTGACTGACTACGCGTGAAGCATATTCGTACCCTCGTTTGTCTAACGTAGTAATTTAATATTGCTTTGAGTAAATGTGCTTTTATGATGTAACTTAGAGAGAGAGAGAGAGAGAGAGAGAGAGAGAAAACAACTATTTAATTAACGCCTAGCAGATCTTAATAAAATAATCCAATAATATTAAAATATTAACGCGAACGATAATAATGCGAAAGGTATTAGTAGAAAGAAAATTTATCTTTAAAATTCATCTTAAATATTCCAATGATTTTCAATATCTCTTATATGCCCTTCTAATTTACGCAGTTGACAAAATGATCAATTTCATAATAAACGAAATACGAAAATACGTTCTTTCGAGCAAAGCTCCAATAAAGCTTTCGTTAGTAAAGCATCGATAACGTGTTGCGTGTTGTCTAAGAAAGCCGAATGTACACAGGAGCAAATGTTTATTAGATTCGACCGTTAACGACGAATACGTTTAACCATTAATTTCCATTTAAAATTATGATTTTTAATACAATCAAGGCATTATGAAGTTCGACTTCATATTATGAACATCAAAAAGCTCGTAAAAATGGTTTAATGGAAAAAGTTCTGCGCAAAGAATGTCACGAACGTATCGTACATTACATGCGTACATTGCATATTTTTTCTTTTGATTATTATCCGATCGCCACCATTCTTATGTCATTGTTTTTACATGTTCCAGAGCAGGCGATTCAAGCTCTTAAAATTATTATTGAAGTTCAGAATAGAGTTGCACGCATTATCGGCTAGCGAGTAAACGAGTAAAAGAAAAATTGCGATTTCCTCGTTATCTGCTCGTTAATCACTCAACTCAGGATACTCACACTGACACATAGCACTGGTCCAACCTTGTACATTGAGTAACGATAAGAATACTGGCTTATATCAAGCAAAGTTGTTCCTGCTGGAAGTTTATGGCCTATTTCCGCCATTATGTAGTTGGCAAACTGCTCCATGCGTTTTGGCGTACCTCCCATGCACACGAACTGCGCAATAAGAAAAAGTGAAGTTAACGTAAATTGCTTGAAATTAGTAAATGGCGAATAAGTGGGGCTATAAGGGATTATAACGAATAGTTTTTGCGATTATAGAAATGCAATTTTAGCGGGATCAACCGGTGTAAAAGCTTTAAACGTGTCATTGATTACGAATGAATTATGGCATATGGATAATGTTAACATTCATGTTAAAAATATTTATGGTTATTAAGCTCCTAATATATAAAAAGTGCCCAAGTGTTTGGATAATTTATCTAAAGATTTAACTATGAATATAATTTTGTCTATTAACTTATCGAGGTATTCATTAGATAAAATAATTCTATATTCTATGGCATTCGATTAATTCAACAAGACTTATTATTTATTATATATATTCGAGCGTTTAATGCACTGATTAGCACGAAACTTGTTTTTCATTTGTTCTAAAAATTGTTAAGAATAAAGTCAATTCTATTACCAAACTTGGTATTATTTTTATCTTTTATACCAAATAATAATACCAAAATGTAAATACACAATCATTGAAGAATTTTTATAAAATATTTTGATTTACAAACAAGATAAAGACGTATAATTGTACAACAATGCACCTTGGGTAATGTATACACAGTGCGTAATTAGTATATAAAATAAAAGTGCTGCTTTTTAAAAATTTTTTAATTTAAATAAATTAACATATGTTTAAAGGGGAGATTTTTTTTTTTTTTTTTTTTTTTTATTTAATATAGCTTTAAAATAATGTATGCAGATTTTTTATTTTTATTATACAATATAAGAAGCGAAATGTCGTGAGATATAGCGTGTATAGTATTTGAAGTTTTATATAAAATTGTAAAATAAGTTGGACTTGAATATTAAACAATTACGAATAATAAAAAAACAATCGTATACATTCAATGTAATGTTAAAGTTTTAATACTGGATAATGTAATTATTTTCCAATCGTTCATTCAGCAATGTATAGGTACGATGTAACAGACACGCGCGCACATAATAATTGTTTAATAACGGAAGGTCAGTGAATAAATTTTGTAATTTCTATTACATTATACCATTACCAGCCTGAAATCTAAATATTTGATGTCATTTTATCTAGTATTACGGGTTATCTCAAAGGTCTGCACACGAGGTCGCGGATAACACAAATATGCTTATATTTTAATGCATTTCCTAAGCATAAAAATCTAGCGAATTCACTTATATTTAAGAAGAGAAAATTATTTCAAAATTTTGTAAAATAAATGAAAAAGCATCAAATCGGCAACTTAATGAGAAGAGGAGCTGCAGGACTATATAAAAGCTTATAAAAAATTTCTTATAAATTGATTTCGTTGATCAATTTCAATTTTACGTGTCGTAAATAATATATACCTCGATGAATTAACTATTAAAATTGTTAATTTTTGGAATTAGGAGTAACGATACAATAGTGACAATAGTAAATCTCTAATGGTGAATATAATCTTAATATGCCTTTGGCCATTCAGATCATACGTCCATTCAATGATGAAAAATAAAATTTTACCTGCTAAAAATAAAAAAAGATATAAAAATAGAAAAAAGATAATGAAATGAGAAAGAGAAAAAACTAAAGGTACTTATCATTGCAGACTGAGTAATAAAATTTATCCTCCGTCTATCGTACATCGATAGTGAAATTTTGCATGCACAATGAAAAAAAAAAAGAAGTGAAAATCGCTAATAATAATATCTAACAAATAGTTCATACTATTTATTAAATACCTTGATGTCGCCAAACATTTCCACAAGATCGTGGGATCCACTACCCAGTGCGAGATGATAAAGAATGTCCTGATCCATGAGTTCGATATTTGGATTCCTGAGCCGCACCGATCCATCTCTATATCTGCCGAAAAGAGCAATATAAGAATTTTATTATTCGCCATTCGTGCTAATGCGATGTGTTCAAATGCATAATAACATAAGGTAAAACGAAAAATGAAAAACAAAAAACAAAAAACGAAAAACAAAAAACGAAAAATTATCGACATTTTTTTTTTCAAGGACGGAATTTGGCATTTTCAAGAAGCTTTTCCTCGTCCATTCATGTCCTTTAGTATTAAAATTGGCTTCTTATGAGTTTTCTCAGCACGAAATCGAACGATCGTCGCTGTACATTTTAATGCTTTCGGTACGTCAAAGGCGTGAGCACTAAGATACCATAAAACGACTTGGAGATAATCTCGACCTTAACCGCGGATAAATATTGCCATTCTTATCAAGTATAATTGTACAAACGCACGTCGCGTATTATTATATATCTGCACATGTAGTTGAAGTACTGTATTTGCATAATATGTCTCTTAATGCACAATTTGAATATTCAAAATGAGGAAATCGTATGGATGCGTTTATTACTTGAAATTATAGTTCATGCTTTATGCGCTAACCTTAGGCTCAAATTATCCTGCAAATTTATTGATTTATTGATTTTTAATATTCAATGTATTATTTAAGTACACGAGACGATTTATCAATCAACGTATAAATTTACCTATAAAGCCAATGCAGGATCGTTTTCGATAATTTTACATAAACAATTTTATATTCACCAAAGTGCGTTTTCTATACATTTAGCCGGCAATATCAACTTTAACATACTACCAATGTTTCCTTAGCCAAGTATAAGTATACCAAGGCCGTGTGAAATTCGCGATAACATTGCGAACGAAGTGTAAGCTTTAGAATAGAACAATAACGATAATAAAGCAGAATAACTCGAGAGAGCCGTATTGTCTTGACTTTGTGGGAGAAGCTTCGAAAGAGCTGGTAATCATTTTATACGGCTGTGAGAGTCTGTGGGAGGCGCACAAGCGAAGCCTTAGCAATTGTTTGGCAGCGGTCGAAATTCTCCCGGATAAACATCGCGGTCTTCCCGTTGACATTAGTACGGCAAACATTGCGTCAAGGACGAAACGCGAATTCAAGCGCGCATTTCGTCATGTCGTCTTGCATCCTCGAAACAACGAAATCCGATGGTTTTTTTAGCTGTCCTGGCAATTGGCTCGCGAGCCAATTGAATCTCTGACGATTAACGCGCAACAATGGAGTCGAGGACAAATTCGAGGAAGGTCACTCCTAAATGAGAAACCAATTGACGAAGTGAGGATAATGCGAGATGGACTGGGCTCGGAGAATCGTCGCGAGGAAATTGAACGATTGCTTGCAAGCTCGTTCAACCTGTCGCTTTTCGACTCGATCAATTTGGAATATTCGCTGGTGGATGGATGGATGGATGGATGGATGGATGGATGGATGGATGAGTGGTTTTTGGCAACGGCGTTCAATACCAGACAACAAATATTATTTCCCTTCCTATGTAATCTAAAATATTTTCAGTTTATTCGCCATTGAGAATGCCAGCTTAGCTTTCATATCTATACCGACTTTAATAAAATTTCACCAATATTTTATTTCTTCACATTCATTATTGTTTTTAAAGCAAACGCAATATTATATTGGTTAAATCTTATTACATATTGAATAAAATATCGTATTATATTATTCTAGTACTCGTAACGTATAAAATAACGTGTATAGAATTTTATATTTGAAGACTGAGAACGGAAACTCGATATGGAAAATCAATGCACTCGATATAATATAGGAATGTTTGTGTTATAAAATGTTTGCATGCTTTAATGCCCACAGTATCGCTTAAATTAATAAATATTTCTCAATTTGAAAAATTTATATGTATATATAAAGTTATTGAATAAAAAATAATGTTATGCTTCGATAACTGAACTCTGATATTTTGTATTAAACTTCAAGAAAATATTATTGAATACGATAATAAATCGAGAAATTCGATCACGAGAGTTCGAAGCTTTAAAATGTTAAATCAATTTACCATCTAATAAATGTCTTAATATATTATATATAAAATGTATTATCAGTAATAGTGAAAGTTTCATTGAAATAGTTTTAATAAGAAAAGAAATTCTACCATTAGAACTGTTTACTTGGTAATACTTGAAACGACCGATGCATTTATGAAATTTATTTTCCTACTGAATAGTTCATTTCACAATATATCGAAGTGAAATAAAGTTATGCTGGATAGTATCGAATATTTTTTAAATACAAACAAAGTCGTGAAACATGCGAACATCCGCATACATACTTCATCCACCCCATCCACATCCATAAAATATTTTATATTATCTATACATCCACGACGCTAAAAGCGTATTTTCAATTATTATAAATATAATTCTTCAGTTACTTCTCGAGGACTCGGTAACAAATGAGTGAAAAACAAACAATGATCAAAGTTTAGCTTCGACGAAATCAACATATTTCATCCGCATTAACGATGAATCTTAAACACACAAACACAACAGCACGCCGTAACTAGTAAAGGAGATCTACAGCCGTGACGTAATCACCAATTGCCGCGCTAAGCTAAACGACAACGCACGTGATATTTTGCCGGGGTAAACCGCCATTAAATAAGTCTCAACGAATCGTGTTTCTTTAGAATCTTGTTGTTTGGAATTACACGTAATTTAATTGCCCTCGGGACTTCCCGACCTCGCTCTCGCAACATCACGGTCAAACTACTGCAATTGCAAAAATATACCCGGCGACACTGCGTGTAATCTATGAACGCGGCGACTCCAAGCCAACGGAGCATCGAGCAGAGCAATGGCAAAGTATTAAATGTTGATAATCGTCGGCGCTTGGCCGCCCCAGGACAACGCGCCACGCGCACCACCCATACCTCGCGCCCTACCTGACCAAGCACTCGACCATTTCCTCCTGTCCCTTTGGCTGTCCCCTGTCACCCTTCACCACCTCCTCCTTCTCCTCCACCACCTCTCCATTCTCTTTATTCTCCTTCTCCTCCTCCACCACCTCTCCATTCTCTTTATTCTCCTTTTCCTCCTCCTCCTCCTCCTCCTCCTCCTCTGCCTCCTTGGCCGTCATGTTCACTAGGCAGACGCGACTCCCCGAGCACGTCGGCATCGTCGCGAGCAGCTCCACGGCCGAACTCATCTTCTCCTAGTACGATGACAGAGACCACTTTTATATCCCCGCGTCCCACCCTCGGCTCCGATCATGTCGATCACCGCCCCCACCCCTCCCCCACTATAACCGATACCCCAACGTAGGACGCGCTATTGTGCGAACGTCGCGGCTGAGCTCCTCGATGTCAGTCCATCGAGAGAAGGTGCAACCGCCAAACCTCACCGTCACTCATCATCGTTACCACGGAGCTTTTCACTCTCCGGTACGGCTCTCCTTAACCACAATTACGACCTGCTTCCCGAGCTCGCACGGACTTAGCTTCCATTTCTCACTTCTTCCAGGCCCCCTTCTAGACGATACCCTCCAACAAAGGCAAATAGTTACACATTGGGCGCTTTACTCAGACGCTTAACCGCTACTCCTTTTCCTTTCGTCCATCGATATCATGTGTTTGCGCACGCGCGCATATGCACGTGCATATGCGAGGTATAAAACTTGTGTCGCAATATGAAATGAGAATGATGATGAAAATATCTATAACTACATATATATATACATAGAGAGAGAGAGAGTGAGAGAGAGAGGGGGGGGGGGGGGGGGG